GCTGGGCGAGCTCACGAGGTGCCAATAAGTAACAGTTTTCCGCCCATCGCTAACGTGCGGCTGCGCCTGTACCGGGCGGCGGGAAGTGCCGTGTGCCCAGCGCCGAGGCTGAGCCCCCCGGCCCGGTACCGCTTTTCCTGAGAAGCGGGCACGCTGTTCTGCGCCGTCCGCCAGCCCGCCCGCTGCGCCCGCCGCATTCTTTCCCTGTTCGCTCCGCGCCCTGCGAGCGGCTTTAACGCGCGGAGGAATGAACGTGCGATTCCTCAGAGCTAAACCAGAGAGAGTTTCAAATTATTAAAGGGATTGGTGCAGTCGGAAATAACATTTCACTTCAAGTTGAAGGTGGATGCGATTGTGCTCCACACATATGGAAACGCTCAGGTAAACGATTTGTTTTAATATTGCCTTTTGGCAGCTGGAATTTAATCTATTTTATTTGTACCTTTCTGCAGTTACCTTGCTGGATTCCAGATCAGTTCAGGGAGAACTGGGGTGGATAGCAAGTCCCCTGGAAGGAGGGGTAAGTTTTAAACCGCTATCTGATCAAAAGGGTAAAGGGGGTGATTAGTAACTTTCAGAGAGTCCTAATGGCTCGATTATTGTTGATTGTGGTAAGGAGGTCAGATTTCTTCCCTGGCTTACCAAGTGAATTACTCTTTGTTGGAGAAACTCTATACTCCCTTTGGATAGTTCTGTCATGGAAGAAGTGGAAACCAAAAGGGCAGAAAAGAGGTTTCAGAATTAGGAGATTGGCTGAGGCATGGGCTTAGATGCCTATTTTAAACTGAAATACCAACAAGAAATGTGATCTGGCAACTGAACTGGCATTCTTGACTGTAATTATTATATCTATGGGCCGTCTCGACTGGGAGATGTTCAGGGCAATTGCTGTTCTATTTCTGGATAGAGGAGTAGGGATCAATATACAAGATAGACTTTTTGGCGTGACGGGACAGTTGTCCTATTTCAGAGTGTAAATATAATATGTTTTGGTCTCTGAACAGATAAACTGAACCACCCAGTGGCTGCCAGTGATTCTGTGGAGTTTCTTTTTGTGTACTTTTAAAAGAGACAATTGTAAGAGAAGATTGCTTGAATTTACTGCCCGATGGTGATGTGATGACATTGAGATTCACACATCCCACACTGGGGCTTAGAGCCCCTTTGCTTAGTGAGCTGCAGTCAGAGTATCTCTACTAATTTAGCTTTACATTAGTGGATGGGCACCTTGCTGCTCTCCTGTCTGTGCCCCATCCTGCAGGGTGCCTGGGGCCTGTCTGTAGGGAAAAATTAGGGAAACTCCTGAGAACGCTGGACTTTGGAGTTGGTGGGGTCTGGTGGAGGCAGTACTTCGTGGCATCGCTTGGGATTTTTTTTTTTTAATAAGGAATTAGAAAGGCTTTTTCTTTCTTAAAATGAACAATTTAAGAAAAATGATGGCAATACACACTAATATAAAAACCCCCTGAAATCCTTTTAATATTAAATGGGTAAAACAGCTTAGTATGCCTAAGCAGAAGTAACTAAGTTGAACTGATTGAAAAATAAGTGTTGAAAGATCAGGACCTGTGCACAACAAAGCACTGGATTCTTCAGGAAACCTACAAATTTACTTTTTTGTGTGCATTCCTATCGTAATTAGAAGACGCAGAGCTAAGGAAACAGCAGTGAGTGGAAAGAATCCGAGGTTGCGTTGGTTGGTGATGCATTATGCATAAGCTCTGAATAACCATAACATGGGAGAATGGGGGATTGTTTTGCTCTCCCATTGTTGTTCTGGGTGAACTTGACTACAGTCCTGTCTTGTGCTCTGCCTGAGCACGCTGCTGTCCCTGAAACTCGGGTTTTTCAGAGAGTGGGGAAGTGATTGGCAGGCCTCTGGCAGCGCCCAGGGTGCACATTCACTGCTGATTGCAGGCAATTGCCCTCCTCTTTTGACAGTGTGGAAAGGTACAGCTCTATCTCGGTGAGAGTCGGGCTTCCTTGTTAATCCTGTACTCTGAAAAGGTCGGTTAATGAGACGGGGTCTTTCATACATCTCTCCAAGGGATATCTGCGCTGTATATAAAAATAGGACCTAAATTTTAATAAGTTGGTAGTAGAATTGATGATCAGAGGAGAACTATATATTATGAGTGGCTGTTGGATTCTCCCTTTTCCCCCATGTTTTCTCTGAAAGAACCAGGCAAGCTTGAGAAGGAGGTGTGTGCTCTTCTTGTGGACGTGACTCGTTTCACTAAACCTACATACGTGTGTTCTATTTTTAAGACAGTAGTGAAAAATTTAAGAGTACATGGTCTGTCTCTGAGATACAGTGCTTGGAAAGCATTAATTTTAACTTCATATGCTGCAGATTTATTTCAAGCAGCAGAAATGAACTCCTCCCTTATCTTCCTGGGAAGATTCTGTCCTTCAGTGCTAGTTTTTCTTTAACTCTGTGCACCTTATTGTCTATTACAAAAGGTATTTTTCTAGATCTATACTGTGCAGTTCCTGAGGTGTGAGGGTTGTGTGAATAAGAAGGGCTGGAGATAAACATAGTAATTTAGCAGTGACTAGCGGTAATCAAATATATAGTAGCCCTGGAGGAATTAATGAATTGCATTATAAATATAATTAATGATTTACTCCTGGATTTCACAGTTGAAAAGCAGGTTTTGGGCCCGGAATGTGTTACTCTACATCATTAAACTGTGGGAAGAGTTGAATTATAGAAGTCAGTTACAGCTTGAAAGCAAAAAGTTACAGCTTTTACCACATGCTTGGAGTTACGAACCATTTACAGTGGTGGGAAATTTCAGGCTGTAGTTATTTTCAACTCTGGCATTAAGACTCACTTAGGTTTGTTTTGTGTACCTGTGCTTATGAAGTAAGAAACCCAGTTCTATCTATTTGTGTGTCTGTCAGGAGACAGAGGCATGCTGAGAATGTGATCCTAAACTTGCTGAATTTAGTTGTCTGTCCGTTGACCTCAGCGATCTCTTCACTGAATCCTCTAGCAGCATTCTCCATTCTATAAATGTACCAAAGGAAATCCCATCAACAAGTATTATTTCCCTCTGCTTCTTCCTTTCTCTTGTACCACACACAATATAGGTAGCGTGGACAGTCTGAAGATAAGCAGAATGGAAAGTGATGGATCATAAAGACAATATTGTAACAGTAAACTAGCTCTGTGGCAGCTGTAAATTAAAGAGCTCTGTCTTCTTACTAGCACAGTGTTACACTTTACATTGATAGATGACTTTTTAAGATTTATTTTTTCCTTTTCTGTGAAAAGGAGTGACATGCTGAGTATTGATTTCCCCCCCTCCTTCACTTTAATTTGCAGTTATCTCTAGGCAGCAAATAAAATATTATTCTTTCTGCTCCTAGTGACTCATGGTGCTAACTACTGTCATTCTATAAACGGATTCAGCTAAGCAGGAATCTTTTTAAGTAAAAATCACTTGCATAAGAGCAGTCCCTGTGAGAAGAATGCAGGGTATTATGCAAGAAGCCCCTTAACATTAAGAAGGCTTCTGTTTATCAAAGCCACAGGTTTGGTAGTTCTGAAAAGCACTTCTGGGAAGTCTCTTGAAAGTTACTACTGTTTTCCAAGGATAATTTTATATACTTCATTGTATCACCTGCAAACCCAGACAGTATATAATTATGTGTGTGTATATATATATATATGTATACATATATATACACTTTTTTTTTTAAGAAGGATTTTTCTGATACTGAAGCACTGTGAGGTTTTTGCTGGAAAGATATTGCTCTCTAATGCCCTTACTTCCCCCTCTCTCCCTACCAGGAAAGCACTGCCATACACTTTTGTCTGTCTGTGATGATCCTTATATGTGTTTTCCTTTTATAAGTTCTGCGTGCTGAACTACTGAATTAGGGCCAGATCTCTTCTTTCTATACCTTCCTTGGATTGCAAGTATTGTTGTTTCATAATTATGTGGTGGTTAGTTTGGCACTTCTGAAGATGACTGAACTTGATTTGAGGCATGTAAGTGTTTTGAAGCATGCTGCTATCCTGATTGTTCAGCACTTACCCTCTCTGCTAAACTATTTGGGTTTTTGAGAACATGAATTTAGCTATTTCCTGAGACTTTTCTCTAGGATAAGATGTGTAATATTCCCGCTTTTCTCCACTTACCCATTAATAAGAAACTTTGTTTGGATAGCTAAGTTATAGCAATGTTGCTGGTAGACTGATGATGTCTCCTTACCTGTCCTTCCGTCTCTTAAGTGCCAGCCAAGTCAAGGACCTAGTTCTCTGCAGACAGCGATTTCTGGCTAGCTCCAAAGTAAAGACTATTTGCTGAATGTGACTGGGATACTGCTAGCCCAGGAAAGTAGTTGGCAGCTTAGAGAAAGAATAAGGGGTGATTTAAAAGAGTTTAAAATATGTGGCAGTGGTGCCAGAAGTGTGGATGTTGCTCTGTCTCTGCCCTGTGCTTTTTGTGCAACTAAGTCATGCGATCTCACTGTTTGATGTTCCCATGTACAAGCAGGGTCCATGTGTCTTCTGCCCTGCCTGCTACAGGGGAAACGCCCTACTGTCAGTGCTGTACTATGAGTTTGCAAAGTGTTGCGCATAGCCCTGATCTAGGCAGGGTCCTGTGGGCTGAACTGTAGTGCAAATACACAATAAGTTGATAGCGTATTCTTGGATTGGTTCAGAAGGCTGTTAAAACACGTTTGCTCCTTGAGGTGTTACTTGATTTGGAGCTTATTTTTCCTGAACAGGTTCTCCTTCTAATGTCCAGGTAGTTGAGGTCCTGGCTATGCCTTGATATGCTGGTTTGTTTGTTTGTTTTCCTGTTATGGAAAAAATGCAATCTCCACATTATTTGGGGAAGGGCAGGTTATGTTTGCTTTGAAGCTCTGTTGTTCCTTTTAATAGTGATCT